CCTTTGGCATTGTCCATTGTGTAAATACTGAGACGTTTTTGTTTTAAGCCTGTCCATTGTTAGCTTATATCCTCTTCATTGCTTTAATTTTACTTACAAGATTTCGTCACTCCGTTTGTTGGATATTGTGGAAATTTTGTTTAAACGTAGCTTTAATTTCGGTAATCCGGCAGGAAATTTGCATTATGATTTTCGAAGTTTTTCCGACAAATGAGGGTAGGAAAACAAAAGTGAAGTAAACAAAGATCCATTTTACTTTCGTTTATTCTTTGCATTCAAGATTAATATTACTGCTGCTTTTTCGTTCTGCAAAGAAACTTTACATGACTTCATCCAATTAAATATAAGAGAAGGCTCAAATTTCTTACTATAAAGTAAAAAATATCACAAGTCCATTACAAATTAAAACTCGAAAATATATTTTCGAAAATAGTTGGAAGATTTTCAATTTGCATCCACTTCATTTTCCAAGTTATAATTTCTATTTTTATGAATCCAGTCAAATCAATACAATGATCGACTATCTCCCAAAAAAGCTTTGCCACATTTTAATTTGTTACGCTGCAAAAGATCTTGGGCTCAGATCGCGTTTCTATTCTCGAACGTCACCATGGATTATTTTCCCGGACTACCAACAATTAGAACTCTTCATTGTTTCTGTTCTAGGTAGTTTTGGAAAGTCTTTCAATCCTTAAAACTCAAGTGAAGTACTGAAATTTCCACATTGTTGAAACATATCCAGGATGTACTGATATTAAAAATGATTGAGTTACCTGTTGGCAGCACTTCATTAGTCTCAGAATTGAAGATCGCTTCCACCATTTTCGCAAATTTTCATAGAGCCTATTTATCGTTATTTCATTCATTATTATATCTTTTAATTTTTTAGCCCTATTTTTGCTAAACAATTCTCCTCCCATACTCAGTATTTCATTCCATGTGAATCTGAATTAACGCTTAATTGTGACATTTCATCGATTTATTTGTGATAACCTGTGAAATTTACATTAACAGAATTAACATAATGCTGAGAGATGAATAACACAGCGATTGTAATCATTAAAGATATGATATGCACAATAGAAAATAATGTTACATTAAATCAAGTTCACGGATAAGGAGTAACTTTTTATGACATTTTTCTATCGAAATTCGAAAAAGCTTTTTGATCAAGGAAGAAGATATATATATGTCAGAAATGCCAGTTTTTGTCCAAAGTACCGATTTCAGATTGTACTTCTAGCAAAAAGTGAAATTTGATCAATTTTACAAGCAATTATCCCTCCAAATATTTTTTTTTTGCATCCTTTCTACTCTCAAATTTCTGCAGTGCTCATTAGCAAGTTCGTACCTCCGTCATTCCAGCCCATCATTTCCGTGACAAATTTTTGTTGTAATTAAAGACTATCATCCTTTCTCTTTTTATCGACATTTTATCTCCAGGAAGTGAATCTTTTGGCAACTTCTAGCGGACAATTCACCCTGATACTTCATTGGCTTCTGCGTAAGTAGTCACAAGTTATAATTAGCGCAGCAGAAATTTAAAAAGCAAAAACACAAAAGTACTATCACTATAATATGAGTTGATTGCCATGTTGCTGAAGTCATCTTTCGATTGGGTGGCATGTTTATGTCGCATCTATCACAGTTGCAGAAGTTTCAGGCATATCTACCAAATTAAGTACCATTGAATCAATTAGAATGATTCTATAGAGGAATCAATATTATCTTCATTTAACTGTCGTATTGCTATTCGTACAAAAGTTCGAAATGTTCTGATTGAGCATTACTGAGATAGCAAAAACATCGATATTATTCAAATTATGTGTTTTGAATGTCGAATAAGATAAATTAAACAAAGCAGATGAAAATTCAGATTCTTACCAGCAAAAAATTTCTTTTAAATTAGTAAAATCCCACGCCAAAAGTTTACTTTAATGAATTAATTAGTTAATCTGATTCTATTCTTGTATTTTCATTTCTCTTCCCGATGAATGTTTGCCATTTTTGCTTTTCGCTTACCAACGCATTCATTTGTTTTGCTAATTTATTGCAAAAAAAAAAAAACAATTTGGTAAAAGTGCATTCCTGGACATGATAAGCAAATCCAGGCTTAATTTACTTGCTTGAAATCTATTAATTCATTAAAACAAACTTCTGGCATCAAAGATTTTGAAGGAAAACATGTACCAAACTTTTACTTACTTATAATAGAATTTAACAATTTGAATCCCTTGAATTTCTTTTATTGCAGGTTGCTTTGAAAGCATTTAATTTCATGAAATGCATTAATTTAATAGGAAAAAAAGAGCACAGATTGATAAAATGATGCAAAAACATTGGTTTCTCTCGATGTCTCTTATTCCATTATTATTTCAGTTTGCTGTAATATGTGAAGTAATATCAACAATTTTTTGTTTACTATTTAAGAAATTCAAAGCAGCAAGTTGTGATGTATGCACTCCTAAAGTAATGACAAACATTTTGTTTTCTTTTTCTATTGAAATCGAAATAAGGGATTTGAGGTGCAAACTAAACAAAGTGATGTTTTGAAAATTCTGGTAGTTTTTGAATTTAAAATTAATAAAGTGAAAAAAAAGTAGCAGTTTTCCACCATGATTTTGCACCCGAAAAACGGATGAAAAGAAAGTTGGAGATTAGAAAGAATTGGAAAAAGTATTTGATCTCTTTCATCAACTTGAATCATTTTTTAAACAGTTCAGCTGAATGACCAATGCTGACATCATTGTGAATTAATTTATTCCTAATTTTATCTTTCCATTAAGTTTATTCTTTTATTTACACTTCAATCTTTCTTTCTAGCTTCTGCTAAAAATTGATTTGTTTTATTTGTAATAAAGATATGTCACCATGACCTACAGTTATTCTTGGAGGATTTAAATAAGTTACGATAATTTCAGGCAATCAAATGTTAACAAAGCTATTTTCAGCTTTTAAAAGTTTGCTTTGGCGCAAATTATAATGGTGAATTAAGGGTGGAGAAAGAGAACGGATAACAGCTTGATTCAAAAGAATGACTTTGTTGTTCAGTGGTGATGGAATTCGGAACTGTGCTAACTTATTAATTTTATTTATTTATCGAATTTATTTATTATTATAAGAAGTCACGAAACGATCAGCAACACAGGGATTTCATAAATTCTTATAAAAATTCAATTATATATGATGATACCTTTCAAGGATAGGGTAACGTTACTGACAAATAAAAAAGCCTTTCAAGAGTTATTTACAATCATCGAAATAATAATAACACTGTAGTTCTCACTGATCTTTTCGTGAAAGACCTGAATTTTTGCTAGAAAGAAGATTTTCAGCAGTTAACAATCAATGGGAAGTATAGACTGGAAGATCTGCCAGCATTGTTGAGTCGAGAGTTGTCGATGGCGAAATAGATGAGAGGCAGAAGTATTACCAACAAATGAAGCTTGATTTAAACTTTGCCTTATATTATGATGAAGTATTCATCAGCAACAATTTAAGGAATAATTGATCACAGGATTTTACCCACAAATGTAACGCATAATCATTCGATTTTTACTATTCTTTTTTAATCTTCTTAATGATTTCAGTGATTTTGAATTTGTTATCATGTGAATCGTCGCAGTGATTACGATGCAGCAACAGTAATCAGACAGATAGTAAAGTTTAGATATGGCCTTATCAGGGATTTTCATTGAACGATATAAAATAGCCCTGAAGTTTTTTGCTTCTTCCTGAATTCAAGCTGCTTCAACGAATATAAATGCTCAGATAGAATCTCAGTTGCACAATCCCTAGTTTTTTTTTTTTTTCATAAACTTATTTTTCAATTGGATTCAAATATACCACTGTGAATGACTAAGTGTTTTTACAATGATATTACCGATTGCAAATGAGTTCAGTTTTTTAAACATCTGATCACCATTTTAGTACCATTGCAAAAAGAACAAAAGTCTTTGTATTGATATTTTCGAATTCTTCAACAATCTGTTTTACAAAGTTTTTGTTAAATTCATCAAATTAATATTTTGCTCAAACATTTAGTCACACAAGCATGTGGAAGAATTCTCAGTACGAGAGTTATCCGCTAATTCGAATTAATCAGTAAGTAAAATTAAATTTATACATTTAATTTAAATTTCAATTAATGCCTAACATAATATGTATTGATGAATGGGAATGACGAAGGGATTTGGTGTGAAAAAAATTAGTTAATAGAAATTAGCGACAACGGGTTGGCTTCTATGGTTGCGAAACATTGTTTTGCTGCAAAAATAACGAAGTACTTAAAATTCAAATTCTGATCAATGAATGCAGTTTAGTGGATATTTTTGCAGAATTTAGTATATGAACAAAAAACAATTACTTATCCAGCTTACATTTAATTTGGATTTTTTATAAAATGATTCCGTGTATTTCGAAAATGCATATTTATTTCAAGTATCAGCAATATGAAATCAACTGGATGATATATTTAAATCTATTGGAATCGATTTAAGGTTTGCAATTTCAAGTTCATTTCTCTTGAATGATCCTTCCTCTTTTTAACTTAGATAAAATGAAGTCTGAACTCTTGACACGCAAGAATCAAGCTTCAATCAATTTTGGTTTTGCAACTGCTCTTTCATCCACATATCAAATGGTCTCTAATGCAAAACATTCTGAAGAGGATGCAAATATGATCGAAAATTACATTTGTAAAGGTACTGATATATCTATATCTGGTTTAACTTGGGATTTGTAAGTTAAAATTTTAAAGAACTGGAAAAAGCCACTTAAGTGATGTCAATTCGATTTTAGTATCACTCCAAACATGCCATTATAAGCTTTCAATCAGAGACAAAGTATGAGTCTGCAAATAAAATTTTAGCCTTATGGAGATCAAAAAGTCATTCAGTAGTATTTACTTTTTCTACTCTTTGACCTCTTTACTGTCTGCCATTCACTCATTCATTCATTTCTTACCTTCAATTTCCCCGTGTTTAAATTTTACTTTTAAATTATCCAATTCATACTGTTTCTATATGATAACAATTACTGATAGCACATCCTGCTTAGAGCAAATGTTTAATCAAATACTTTTTTAAAGTAATTTTTCCAGATGACAAAATAATTCGTGGCGCATTTCTTATTCAAACAGTAAATACTGTGCCTTTGATTTATGAAGGACCAGCTGGTCGTGAGGCCGATACATACATTCAAAGTTTATCTATCGAACATTTTGAACTTATACGAAAATTTGTGGAAAAAAATGACCCAACAGAAATGGAAGATTTTTTATGGATCCAAGATAATGCTACGTCCAAAGTAATCGTGTTTAGATGTAATGTAATGCATAGTCTTGATAAAATGTATTTAAATCTATTTGTTAATCAATTTCTTCAATTTCAGATAACAATTCTAAGTATGGAAAATTTTCGGAAAAATATGAAAGCATTTCCATCAACAAAACATGTCAGATGGCGTGACATATCTCTAAATGAAATAAATGTTTGTCAATATGATACACCCACAATATCGATCAGTTATTGGACCCGAATAATTCATTGTATCTATCAAAATAAGCATTTTTTTTGGTTATCACTTTGGGTGATAATGCTTCTATCACTAATAGTGATAGTTATTTTTTGTATCATCCATTCATCCTCCTTTAAAGCTAGTCTTACTAACGTTTACTTCAATTCCCCTCAAAAATATTGAACTTTATCCGACATATTGGGTCCTATTTCGAGCTTTAACTGTATTCAGATTTCCTTTTGATCATTAAACAAGGATTTTAAGAATACTCAACAAGGCGATCCTAGCCTGCTACTTGGAAATTCATTAAAAACTTATAATGTGCTATAATTTCTCAGTAAGTTATTGCAGATACTTCTTACGAATTTCCGTAAAATTATTTTATAATTTGTTTTGTAAATTATTAGTGAGGAAAATTAAACAATTTTGAAGTGAAATTCCATCGCTTTTCCTTTTAACAAACATTCAAAATTTAACGAATTATTTCCGTAAAATTTGAAAGCGGCAAAAGGAAAAGAAAAATCAGTCATAATTAAATTAAACATTCCAAATAATCGCATTTAATTTATATTATTCATCGCCCATTTCGCCTTTTTACATTACGCCTTTAAATATTTTCTCATCCCCCTCTCCTTCTCTTTATATTTAGAATTTCACAGTGGAATCAAAAATGTTTCTAAATAATTCATTCTAGTAATTAATTACGCATTTTGTTTCAAATTTTCATCCCACGCAATATTCCTATTTCAGATACATTTATTATATTTTATATTTCATTTCGCATCATTTCGTTTTATTATGTAAATAAAAAATTATGAATAATAATGATAGTAATCCGTCGCAGTGATATTTTGTTGCAAATATATTATTAATACTTATAAAAAAGTATACTGGATATCCTAGTTTGTGACGATGAAATGTGAATAAAACTTCACTCTCTTTGTAGAATTGAAAAATTATAGCATGAGGATATTTTAAATACATTCATTTAAACAGGTGAACAAAAAATGTCAAAGAGTCAAAGAGAGAAAGTTGACAGCAATTTTTTTTGATAGCAAAAAAAAAACGAGCAAGCAGTGAGAGATGGAATTTCAAAAAACAACAACAAAATGACCTTTGATATGTTTATATTTTCATGAATATTTTTTAGTATATGGATATGTATGAATGAAACTTGCAATCATGATATTAGCAAAGTTTTTGATAATTTCGAATATGGCTATTATTGCTTTTGAAAATAAAGATCCACATAATAAATTAAAGTAATTAGTTATACGATGATTGAATATTAGCAGTTAAAAATATACAATGTATCCTGTCATTCGATCGTAAATACTTTGCGGCAAAGTTTGAAATTATAAATGATTACATGGTTGGAAAGAAAGTGAAGCAATAATATTTTGTTCAAAACATTTGACAAGTGAAAAATATTGTAATTATCTAAAAAAAAGAAAAAGAAAAGTTATTTTGACTGTTGTGATTATTTTAGGTTTTTTTAAATGTTTACTCATTACTTGATAAATTCAAAAAACTTATTGAAAATTTCTATTGCAATATTTAAATTTTATCTTTTCATTTCTGTAACGCATTGATTGATCTTTCGCTGTTTTTTCATATCTTTAGAAATTTTTATCAACTTTTCCTGTGAAATGAATACTGATGACAAATACCAAACATAAGTAAAAGATAGACGTATTGTCAAATAAAGCATGATATCCCAGCAAGAATAAGTGTCAAATGTAAAGGTAATGAATGAACGATTTCCAGAGAAATTTCATTCTCACAGGATTGCTTAACAAACGAAATTATTGCATGAATTCCATGGCTCATCTCATCGTCACATTTCCATCAGTTGACCATTGCAAATCTGAAGTTTATAAGATTCGTCTTCTGCAGTAAATTCGTAAGTTTCAATTACGTAGCGTGCAACGGTTTTTTTTAAATCTCATTTATCTTGAATTATCTTATCATATCATTAACAAAATTTAAGCAAAGTTGAAATTTTTAGATTTCAGTCAAAAAATTTGAAATTTTATGAAAAATTTAGAAGGAAAATTAAAATCCTTATTTTTTTTAGATACAACTTTATTTCTTATGAAATTTACATGAATGATGACAATTTGTTGTATTCAGCAATGAACTTATAGCGGCTTTCAAAAGGAAAGAATGCTTTTTCAAACATATTCTTGTCTCTGACAATATAACAATTGAAAAAAAAGAAAGAGAGAAAGTTGCTTGTTATTAACTGATTTCCAGTACCAGAGAG